AACCTAAGACAGTAAAAGAGGTCGAACTGCAAGTACAAACTTTACTCCTACTTTAAAACTGATAGTGTCGGAAATGTCTACTTTCGCCAATTTAGCATTAAAGTAGGTCCTCTTAAGTAGGGGCTAAAGTAAATTTTTAGAATTAAAGATTCAAGGGAGGAGCGAAAAATATAATGTCATCAAAGTAGGTTATTGCCGGTCTATGTAGGTGTAAATTATCCTTAAAAGTGTCCAAATAGTACCAAAATTTCGACTCGAGTTTTGTGTACAGACCGACCGGTGTTCCGCTAATCGGAACTAAATTGAAGAGCAGCTTGGTATCATTGAAATTAAGTTTAGAAGTCTAACAAAAGATCATGAATTGACAGTTCCGGGGACAAAAGGTGCGAAAAGTGCAGAATCACTCCAGCATCCCCTAAGTCCCCGTCGAGCGCATGAATATGCACCGCGTATCGCGATACTTGGCTCGTTACGGGGGCTTCCCCGATGAATCGCGAGTCTATTTTGTCCCGACGGCAACGAGATTAGACACCCCCGCGTCTCCCGCGCGGGAGGATCCTCCTACCGTCCGAAAGGGAAATTTCGGAAAATCGGGCGTCTCGCGGTCTCTCGCCTCGGGCGAAAACAATTCGCGTCCCACCGCGCTCGTTACCGTGAATTACGACGTTATTATTTTCTTCGTTGCCGAAAGCCCGTCGGCGGCGCGAGGACAATAAACGTCCGCGGAGGTACGAGATGCTGCCGCGTTTTTCGACACGCTTTTTCTCCCCGCCACCCCTGCGCTCCACGTGGCAGTCGCGTACTGACCCTTAATAGCGCCCGCGAGAGACGTATGGCGAAAGTTATAATTGGAGCACACGCCGCATATGTTAGACGGTTTGTCGAGCTGATAAAACCGCGACCTACGATCTTCCTTCTGACTCTCCACCCTCATCCGTCCGTTTTATTGCCCTGCCAGCCGCCCTGTGTGACCGCCTTTCTCCCGCGTTTACATTGTACGATAAGAGAGCTCAGCTATAATAAATCCGCACACTTCTATTACACAATAATTCGGGAATATTGGGGATACATCGTAGGGATGATTGTACTGTGTTTTAAGTCTGACGATATAAATCGGCGCGCAGTTCTCGTTTTTCGAATACTGTCACGACAGGTGGCATTCGGGAATCAACATTAGACTGTTTATTGCGAGAAGTGTTTCCAAGTGCCTCGGTGGTCGAATTGGTTGAAACGCCCGCCTAGCGAGAGGGAGGTTCAGGTTCAAACCCTGGCTGAGGTAATATTTTTCGCAATAAATTTAGAATTTGAAATATTTAGATATTAAAACCCTGTTACGGCTCTTAGGCCTGGTTGCACCAACGTCGCTTAGATTTAACTTTAGCTTATTTCACTCTTTGTCTCTTTCTAAGGGAAACAGTTGGAAAGCGACGAAGAGTGAATTAAGCTACGGTTAAAATTACGTGACGTTGGTGCAACCGGGCCTTAGTCCTTCATTCCTTCAAGAAAACAATAATTCAAGTTGTTTAATTACTCACGACAATCTCGCCCTGAGATCGACGTCCGGAGAACAGGCTGCACGAGAAAACATGCGCTCGTCATCCCGCCGTTCCTCGTTGCTCATATTGTATAAGTAAGAACTTTAGAGTTTTGCATCGTACAATAGATGCTGAACGATCAAGGTTCGCGGCGACCGGAAACGTGGACACGGGACGAAATTCAAATATATGCAAAGTTTATCGCTACCATTCTACTTGTGGCGAAATTGCCATCTCTCGAGCTCCCTAATCGAAAGTCGCCACTTTTATGAAACTCCGGAATCTCTTCTTCCGCCTTCCCTCACGGCTCGCCGAGACCCGATACCGAACGTTACCACATCCCCGCTGGCGCAACATTGCCCACGTTGAAATCTAGAAGTTTACACCTCGGCGCCTCCATCCTCATCTCTTTTCATGCCATCTTTTTATTGCTAATTTCTATTCATGAAATACGTTTCTGTGCCACCGCCGTTGCAGGAGCGATCAGCGAAAGAGCGAAAGAGAGTGAGAGAGAGAGAGAGGGAAAGAGAGAGAAGAGAGCTGTATCTTTTTTCTCTTTCTCGCCGTCCTTGCCACACTTTTTTCCTCGTGAGATGCTTACGAAAGGTCAATAATGCCTTTATTTTCATCGCGCCCTCACAACGCGGGCTTGTAAAATCACGGGATCTCGCGCTTCTCCCCCGCGAGACTCTCGTCCCTACCTTACGAGGCCCTTACGAGGCCCTTACGAGGCCCTTCCGAGGGATCTGCATTTTATTAACTTTCGGTAGCGCCCGCTCGTGCGGCCCGCCCTCCGAGTCCCCGGCAGCAAGCGCGTCGGCATAAAACGACGTAATTCACCAAATTAAACGCAGAACTCCTCGCCGGATAATGGATATTATGCAGCGGTGAGCACCGTATTCCACGCGTTTCTTTCTCCGCCCTTCTCCTCCCGGGCACCTCCACCTACACTTCCGTCCGCTTGTTGGGCAAAGTTAATTAACGAGCGAAAAGCGTCTCCGCGGGAACAACCGTGCTCTTCTCTCCCTCTCTCTTTCTCGCCAGCGAGAAATATTCCCGGTCGGCCGAATTCGGTGACACTACTTCGAGAGACAATCCGCAATTAGGACAATAATTATAAGCGCCGGTAGACCACCGGGAAATTAGGACGTTTTAATCGAGAAACTCGATGAGAAACGGTCCAATGAAAATATCACAATAGTTTGCGGGGAAGCTACCGTTATTTTCGCGTTGAAGTAAACCGTTTGTCGGAAAACCGCAATGAATTCCACCGAAATTCGTTCCGCGCGCTACTCGCCATTCGTCGAATACGAGGAATAAAAGCTATTTAAAAAAAAAAGAAGATCCTCCCTCATTTAAAAGCCCCTCTCTCGTTCTCTCTTTGCGTCGCAATTAATATACCGCGCGGGATAAAATAAACATCGGACACTCTTTACCAGCGAGAAACGCACGGGATTAAACGCGGACGATAATCGATAATGTTCAGATAGTAAATACGCAGGTTCTCCTGCGGGGAGGGGATCGTTGCAAACGAAAAAAAAAGATACATCTCCACGAGCGGACAACGATTTTCAATAATGTAACGCCTGCGAGCCGCCGTCGTGGGGCGCGAGCGCCAAGTATCGATAACGTGTCGCGTTCGTAATCCGTTCGGTGACCGGAAAATTACTCGAACGGAAACTAATTAAAGATAGTTATCGGCCGGCGCGTTGCGCAATGAGTGCATGTCGCGTGTGTACGAGATTTGTTAATCGGGAATTAATCTCGACCGGCCGGATACGGGAGAGCGCGGGCGGCGACGATAAGGGGACCGTTGGAGGTGCCATCGCTGTGTTAAACTCGAACAGGGTTAATCCGGATTAAACCCCGACGGCCCCTCTGCTACCAGTAAAACTGGAAAGGGCAAATACACCCCGTTGATATCTTTAGCCAGGCGGGTCTCGGAGTGTCGCGCGCCTCGTACGCGGATTACAAAGTTACCGCACGAAATAATAGCACCAAGTGCTACGTGTACGCGCGATAAAACTTGGCCCATTCGACGAACTTCGTTCAGTATTCGATAAGCATCGCCGGCATTCCAACGGCACTTTTACAATTTTAAGAAACTTCCGACGGTATTCGGCAAGTATGCAGATCCCCTCTTTAAGATCGCTTCCTCGCATTTTGTAATACGCACGCGCGACGTATCTATTGAAATCAAGTGTATACAAATATGTATAAGTATTCAGGATAAAAAGTACGGGTATTTTGTACAAATTAATAAAATTCGTATGGATCAAATGTGATGAACACAAGTTTGAAGGAATAAAGGACTAAGAGCCGTGACAGGGTGTTAGTGTCTAAATATTTTATTCTAAATTTATTGCGAAAACATATCACCTCAACCAATCGTCTCAACCAATTCGACCACCGAGGCATGTGGCAATATTCATCGCAATAAACAGTCTAATGTTGATTCCCGAATGCCACCTACCGTGACAGTGTTCGAAAACGAGAACTGCGCGCCGACTTAAATCGTCTTAAAACACAGTGCAATCATCCCTACAATGCATCCCCATGATTACCCACCCACCGGACCAAATAATTAAATGAAAGTAATTTAAATAAAGTAAATGTAGAATAAAATATTTAGACACTAACACCCTGTCACGGCTCTTAGTCCTTTATTCCTTCAAATTTTTTTTTATTTTTATGTATTCTCATTGTTTTTTCGTCAGACGTGAAGACCTCAGGGCGGTTGGACAGCCTTGGGACCGCGCTGTCAGGTATTACTCTTCTGTCGCGAACAATTACGGAATCGTATCTTTCCCCCTTTGTAAACATCCGTGGCTAAGTTACATGTCCGGTTCGGTGAAAGACAGAGAGGGTGCAAGTCGCAAACAATACTGATCGCGCAAACGCTACGTGTAGCGTTCGATGGTGAAACTCGAGTCGGCTCGACCCAAACTCGGGGGCCGTGAGAGGTCCATTACCGTCGAAAGGACAAAGAGATTGGGTAAGGACAAACAGTGGAGGAGATCAAGCGTCTCGAAATGTCGCCGACAGTTTCACGGCGCGGGCGCGAGCGCGCACGCGGTCTCTTATAGAGACCAGACCCGGGTTTTTTGCCCCTGTAATTAAACGCCGGGGCACGGCACAATGGTCGAGACGACAAAGGGCGAGGGCATCTCCCCGAAAGATGATTTGTCCGCTGAACGGCACAATGGACATTGATCATTTACTTGACTGATGGACGTTTTCATCCTCGGCTACGATGGCTTCTTATGAGACTCATCGCAATGGTTTACGCAGAATTATTCGCGAGCTCGATCTTACTGAATTAAATGACACTTCGCAGTAATTTTCGATCGGCATTGAAGTTGCTTTTAAGGCGACATAAGTCGCGATCACGCGATTGCACTTTCCTCGCGGAAACGTTGACTTCTTCCCGGCTCGGACCAACGTATACAGGGATACGTAACTTACCTTTGAGAGCGGCTGTGACGGCACGTGACCTTCCGACTACCTCTGCGAGCTGCGTCTTGTGCTTTATGGCGTCGGCGTCGGCCTGGTCGTTGAGCGCGCGCTGCAGCATCCTTTGCGTTTCCTGCTCTTTGACCGAAAGTGCCTCTCGCAGATGATCGGCGTGTATCTCCGACTGCAATTTCAACTGCCGCCGCATCTCGTCGTCGAGCGTCTTCTGCTCCGTCAGCAGCTGACACACAAAGACGGACACTCGTAAAAACTTGAACGAGCAACACGCATACCTCATTGGCTCGTCTTATAAACTTTTTTCAGTGGCGTAAATAATTAAAGAAACATGATTTTATATCACAGAAATCAAATATACCCGGAGAGAAATTTTTCTTAAAGTTTATCCTGAAAATCACGTAATCGTGGGGCAACACATTTCGGAGAATTTTATGAGGGTTTTTCGAAATTTTGTCATACATTCTACTAGTAATTATACTTGGTATACATTTCAATACTAGTAGGATGTATGGTAAAAATTCAAGAAGCTCTCGTACAGTTGTTTAAAATGTCATGTTGTCCCACGATTACGTGATTTTCAAGGTAAATTTTAAGAGAAAATTCTCTCCGTGTACTCCTTTTTTATCAGAAATGCAATGTTTTCTCTTTTATCTTTTTCTGCCTTTCCTGATGTTAATGTTGGTTGATAATTTCAACATGAGCTTTTTACATTTTATTAAATGCAAGTGCACCGCGGATTTGTAACGTCACGTTCCTCGGCCCCTTCAAATCTCCTATCTACGGGATAAGAGAAAATGAACGTCACGTGAGAGATAAGCCAAAGTTTCAGGAAACTAGATAAGACGTTGCATGCCAGTGCTTTAAAGTCTAGAACAAACAGTGTCTCTCGACAGCACCGGCGACGTTGTTGCGAGGTACAGAGAAACGAGAACATCGGTGGCCCGATTCTCGAGGAACGACGAGGAAAAAAAAAATAGATTTCCTCGAGATCCGTGCCACTTAACGCCCTTTATTTGGAACCAGACCTCGGTACAAAGAAATACGCGAAGAGGGACAATTCCGAGTCGGAAGCGATAGAATTTGGCGAAAACCTGCTCCTCTTGGTAACCATCGAGGGTGTCCTTTTTGTATTAAAAACCGAAAAATCTCCCCGAGACGCTCCTGCAATCCCGCGGCAATCGCCACTCTCGGCGTGATAATACCGTTCAAGATACAGGGCCCGAGGCATTAGCCTAATGAGACTTTGATGAATTATCCGCACTTAAGGCATCACCGGGACCGCCCTCATTGGGCAGCGACCCAAGCCTCGAAAGTCTGATACGTCCTCTATCTCCTGTCCGCCGACGTCGTCTCGCCCCACTTGGTTCACCCTTTTCACTCCCCGGCCAACGTTGTGTTTCGCATACAACGTCCACGGATCCGTGTTTCTGGGACGGTCCGCGGACATGCACCGGCCCGCCATCGCCTGGAACTCTATGTACCGAGTGCCCGTGTCAATAATTAACGCCCGGCTGACCCGACAACTTCGCCGACCCGTTTGAGTCAAGGGTGCGAGAGGGATCTCTACCGACGCCACAGGACGCGAGACTTCTCGATCGTTGTTCGCGCGCGTTACACCCCAGGCTTCGCGATCTGGGAGGACAGATCGGTCAAGCTCTTCGGATACTTAATGTCGTTAACACCGATAATACACGAAGAAATACCGTTGTCTCTGTGCGGCGCAAAATGCGGCGGAATCGAGGACAGATGGAAATGAGCCGTAATCTTAAAGCTGACTATTTTTCACGTTGCCATCGTCGTTGCCGCGACGACCTGAATATTAAAAGAAGCTGCGCTTGTTCCTCGAACAACGAATCTTAATTTCTGCAAAAGCAGGAAATTACAATACAATCTTTTTTTCATTAGTGCTTCCTATTCACGGAATATCTCTCGATTATAAATTAATTTTTCCACGTAAATTATCTGAAATTAATCGACATAAAATTGATATTTTATATATGACTTAAACATGCCAAAAAAAAAATAATGGCAAAGGCAAGGCTTTTCCATTCGGCCGAGCTAAGCTGGCTCAACGTTCTATAATCCGTTTTGGCAAATCCAAAACACTTCACTAACACCGGTCGCATGCCGCAATTGCGCCAAGCCGGATTAATTAAATACGGTAGAGGAAAAACGCGAGCCGTTTATATTCACGCGAAGTCACGCGAAAATTGTTCCGCTCGCAACAAACACAGCTGTTTCCGCTCCGTATCGTCGATTACGGGATTACGGTATTTACTCTGTCGCAATTATTCCACTAATTATTCCGACATTTTTCTCCGCTTGGATCAAGGAATCGGAAAGATCAGTAAGGTGGTTATTAATACACGCGCTGCTTAATCGAGCGTCCGTCAAAAGGAAATGATAATGACATTCGTATATCCCCCTTGCGATTTAAATTGCAAAAAGGTCCCTCCAGCTAGACAATGCAGTTACCTATCTCGTGCCCCTCTGTGTATTACGTTTATCTTTCTCTTTCTCTTTCCCTCCCCGTCCTCGAATACCGACGATAACGAATTCCGCTCGGTACTCGCGTTTATCTCTCGCGAAGACGGATTCGAACGAATGGAATCGCGGCGGTTTTTTTCCCCGGCTCGTAACTAATTTAATGACAACGATTTGTACGGCAATCTACCTGGGGATCGGGCGACGGATGCGGCGGCGAGATCCTCTCCGAGAGAAAGGAAAACGGATTTCGGGCTATTAACTCGCGCCGAGCGATCGAAAGTTCGCCGACGGAAAAAGTCGAAGCTCCCTTCGAGATATCGTGGACGGAAATCCGCGCGATTCGCACCCCGCGTTCGACGTGGCGTCCTCGATGATCGAGGGAACAACGCTCCTTTTCTCTCTTAATGAAATCGAGATTGATTTCCTCTTCACTTGGTACTTAAAAGTAAACCGCCCGTGATAAAGGACTTTCAGGAGTTACGCGTGTCGTAAATCTCAATGTAACTTCGCTGAAGCGGAAGAATTTTATTCGCGTCCCTCTTTGAGATCTATAAAAATCCTCTGAACCGGGGAACTGTTCATCCTCATCGCGCACACACGTGTCTTCCATATCTTCGTTTCGCGTCGACGGCAAGTAATACGAGAAGAGGCTCGCGCGAAATTTATTTATTAGCTCGCGCATATTCCCGTTGCGAAATAGATCAGAGTTTACGACGGTTACCGAGTTACCACTAAGAAAATAGATTGGACCTTGCAACGACGATTCCGCCGTTCCGATGCAAAAAATTCCTCCTGTTTTGCAACGCGAATTAGTCTGCCCGTTCGACGTGTCTTCAAATAAAATGTCAAGTGTCAACCGGCAATTTCGAAAGTGCTCGTTCGATAGTACCCTATCGGAAAAGGCTTTTCGTTAAGCTTCTGAGATGCAATTAAACGAGAAAGAAAAAATCTTATTGTCCATATTCAATCGAACTTAACTTTTTCCCTCGGAACTTCGATTCGCGATTCGATTACCATGATTTCAATGTTGAATCGAAAATTTCCGATTGATGAAACCTCACCGCAACATCTTCCTCAAGTAAAACCTCTCGAGGAATTCGTCATTGAAATAAGGGACGAACTAGAACACTCCACATTATTCAATTAAAGACTCGACGAAAATTCAGAATACCGACGACGTCGTTTTTAAATCCAGAATTAATTCCAGAATCTTAGTGCAAAATGAGACAGGTGTCTGCGATTCATGGGAAAAGGCGCGAGCGGAAAAAAAAAGAAATCGATCTGCGATGGAAAACTATGAAGTACACTCTAAGAAATATGGATGTGAATTCTCACCAGTGGTGTGGAATTGACACCCCATACAGGTGCTTATATAATTCTCACCTTATCGATGTGAAATTAACGTTGCCTGGTTAGTGTGGAAAATTCACACTGTCAACGTGTACGATTAACAACGTGTAAACGGCCATTGAGTGGCGTATTCCTCGGAGAAGATTTTGAAACGCAACCCTCAATCTAAATGCGTGTTCCTAAACTCTTAAAAAATTTAAAAAAAAGTGTCGCAACCACTCTGTCCATCACTGTACCGCGCATGATCGGTGCAGCACGTGTGACCGCATTGACGTTAACGCGGGAATTTCTAGATTTACAGGACGCCCCCACGGGGAAGAACCCTTAAACGCTCGTTCTTTCGCGCGGCTGGTTAGTCGTCCTATACACGTCGAGTAATATTTTTCCTACCGGCGAGCGCTTCCGTCGTAAAAGCGGATATACGATCGGCGCCACGTCGCGCACGTGCGCTAAAGATCGTTTCTGGAGAACGAGTGCATCACCTCGCGCCCGAAGTGTGCGGCCAAACGACTCCCGAAGGCGTAAAAGCGTGTGTGCACGTTAAAAGGAGAAAGGGAATACTCGAATTAAAATTGAAGGAGCTAATTAACTGAAACTGCCGAAGCGGCAACTTTCCTGTAGCTCACGGTATCGGTGTATCTTTCTAGAAATTCAAGTGCAAGCTCAATGCGGGAAGGGAGCGTGGGACTCGCGCGGACTTCCGTTTATTATTGCGGAATTTATTAGCTTCCGTAAGAATTTCTATTAAATACACCGGGCATTTTAGTCGCACAGTGTAGCTGCCTGTTCGCGCAGGAGCGCTAAAATTATCGGCGATACTTTGGCGAGTGGTATCGCGCGGCGATGCGCTCCGGAAAATGGCTCGGGCGAGTTTCGCTGCTCGCATTTTGTTTCTAGACGATAGTAAGGTAAACCCCCGCGCGCGGGCGGGATAAAACAAATCGTGACAAAAAGTTTCATCGATAATTCACGTCCGTCGCGGTAAATAACTTTCAGGTGTACCACCATAAAGATATCCCGCGACCGGGCCAAATCCCAAACGGCGGAGGCAGATAAGGAACTATGAATTTTTCAAGCCCCCTACGATCCTGGAACGTATCCTTACTACGACTTCTATTTGGCTCCGCGGAAAAATCTATTTATTTGTTACGGATATAAACAATGAAGCGCTTGATAAACAGCGTCCTTTCGATTAATTTATATTTAATTTATTTAGTAGAGAAAAATCCTACATTATGAGACTTTCAACAATCAAATTCGATCATAAATCTTTTTTGCCACAATTACGCGAATATTTCACCAGAAGGGCAATAAATTCACGATGGGACCAACAGATGACGCCTATTAATTTAGCAGAAACTCCGCTATCTCATATTAAGAGCTTATTTCATAATAGAGGACTTGCCTCTATATTCAAGATACATATTTTTAGATTGTTTGTACGCGTGTGTTTGTATTTATATATATGAGAATGTAGAAATTAATTCTTGAAGATAACAGATCATTCTTATTTGTAACCAATAATTCAATAGTTTCGATAATTGTATTCGGTAATAAACGCAAATGAATATTTTAATAAAGTACACTTTTTCCACGAGAACCAATAACTTTTTCATCGTACAGTGCCCCCCCCCCCGAACATTTCTGCTTAGGACGTTTTTCTACCGTGGCCGTCGACACACACGTACCCCGAATACACGTACGCGAAGAAAAAAAAACCTAATTAACTCCTCCAACTCATTCGAAAAAATTTGACCCGTGGCCTTTCCGATGACCGGCTTCATTTGGCCGATGATTTGCAGCGCGACTTCGCCTCCGCTTTTGCGACGCTGGGACGAAAACATTCGGAGTCGTTGACGAAGACGACGATGAGTTGTTTTTCCGTGGCGAAACTACGTTAATTAAATGACGCGAGAGAGGACCCCTCTTTGCGCGACGAGCAGCGGCGCAAACGCATCATAAAGTTCGCGACACCGACGACGACGACACGACACACTTTCGTTTCGCGTTTGCCCCCCCAACGGCCTCGCATCGCGACTGTCGCGGAACGAACGATCGTTTGTTAGCGGCAACTTATGAACAAATTATACAATGATTACCATTTAATTAATTCCGCTATCTTCCTCATATATGTATATATGCAATTTAATGGATGACGGGGGGGATATCGGTCGGCGATACGTCCGCGATGCATTAACGTTAAAATATTCGACCGGACGTTAACGAGCGGTACCGGAAGCTCGTAGACAAATAGCAATTAGAGGACACCGCTGTTCCCGTCCGAAACGAGAACAAAAGGTCGTGCGAGAGCCCGCCGCGCGCGCGGATCGATTCGACAAGATTTATATTCGGCGGCGCGGCCCCGGGGGGATAGAGAGACCGAGAGACGGGGGGAGGGGATATAAAGAAGGGGGGCCGGAAAAGAGCTGTCGGACAACTATGAGGACAGCGAGTCACAATGGTTCCTCAGCAGATATTCCTCCCGGTGGCGTACGGCCACGGGCTACGGCACACAAACGCCGTATACTCCAAGGGAATAATATCGCCCCCGTTGCTGTCGAAATATTGGCGCCCGGCCAAATGGAAATAAATAAAAGGGGGGGTCCGACGGTCGCTGGGAGCCATCCTCTGACGCGGGCGCATCGCCGTGTATGGCGTTACATACGGCGCCGCGATGCGCCGATTTCAATTCGGCGTATACGAACAAAAACACCGATGCACCTGTGCCCCGATCTGAATACGACTCGGCTCCACCGCGGAGGGCGATTCGATCTCGATTTGACTCGCAAAGTTGGCGCACGGTCTTACCGAGCGCAAGTGGGAGGACATGAGGGATTGTTTGAGCCGAGAAAAAGAACGCGTCGTCAATATTACGCGACGCGCAATGTCTGACTTTTTAACTTGATCTTAACTTAATTAATCAAATCGCTCGGCGATTTTATAACACGTGAATTGTCACTGACGATAACGATTTCACCTAACGAAAAAACCCGCGTTGTATGTCCGGTATTTAACGGCGCGCAGGACAGGTTGGAAAAAGACGGTATATGGATTCACTTATAGTAATTTAACTGGCCACCTCCACCTGTGCCAGGTCCTAAATGGCTTTTACGTTTCAAATTAATTTTAGCACCTTACAAATGATGGTAAAAAAATTTGAATTGTTTCAGAAATAAAGAATTACGATTACAGCTTTTCACAGTATGATCTGAGAATTTCTCGTCGTACCGTTCTCGGCACGAGAGTCCACGTAGGACTCTGGCCATCTAACAGTGTCCTTTCACAAATTGCGGAATATCAATACGATTAGCCGATTGTGCCACGCTCGATTTGTGCGTGACCAAACGACGTTCGCTTCGACTTGGACTCGGAATCTTCGGCTAATCAGAGCGGGGCGTCTCTCTGTGGCGCGGCCGCCACTGGAGGGGTCTCGTAAAATGTAACTTTAGCAATGTTCGAATATTACTTTATATTACCGCGAGTCATTCGGCCCGGGAGACCCTGCGAAGCAGTAAAGCGTGTGACGTGAGCGGCTGTGACTCGGGTGACCCGTTGTTACTTTCTTATTCCGACGAAGGTCCGTTTTATCACCGTGATCTCTTCTATTCGCCCGCTTTAGAACTTAAGCACCATCATTTCCACCGCTTGGCTTTTAAATACCTCTCCTCTCCCCCCACCCCTCCCACTTCCATCTTTCCCCGTCATTTTTCCCTTTCACCGCGAAATACATTTTCTCGGAGATTTTTCGCGTTTCACACGATTATTATCGCGGAACGATTTAACGAGAGGGTCTTATTTTATGCCATCTCTCTTTAATTCGCGCGGCTACGTCCGCGACGACGGAGCTGGATTTCACGCGCGAACGCGTGGCTGTGCAAATTCGTCTGAATGCTAGGGTAACATTAATAATGGCGCTAAAGCCCGCGTTTATCTGTATTTGTATACCAAGAGGAGACAGGAATGGAGCGTGTAAAAGCACGCAACACGGTGCGCGATTCGCGGGCTAAACAGGGCGTCTGGAAGCCATGAATTGTGCTTGAATATATTCTCGTAAACGTATATGTGCATTATAAAATTAGCCATTCTTTACGGCGGAATGCACGAAGAAACGCGATAAATCGCGTTACGTTCGCAAATTACAATTGACAAATTTAAAATTATGTCGTTCTGAGAAAGTTCCGAAAAATTAAAAAATGTACTTTTCTATAAAGGTCCGTGTTCATGTGATTCACGTTTTTAATTAAAAATATAACGAAGACACTTCTTACCTTCTTCGCGTGCACATCTTCAAGCTCGAGCCTCTCTTGGTTGAGCGCGAGGCTTATTAGCGCGTCCAGCTTTTCCTGAGTCGTGTCTTCACCCGTCGTTCTCAGTGCCGCCTTCACTTTAGCTTCGCTGACTGTCTGTAATTAAGTAATTTTCCTCTGAAGACAGTGACGACATTATCGACGCAGTATTATCGATCTTGTGCGCGAATCGCGTTTCGAAAATATAAAATTTGAAGACCACGGGATTTACGTCAACTAAATAATGCCACAACTTACTCTTAATTTCTCCAGCTCCTTTTGCAGATTGTTGACTTTGTGATACATATGCAGGACGAACAAATCGAAGGCTTCTTCGCTGACAGACAGCTTCTTGTCATGAATATTTATATTGGGAAACAGAATTTGCAATTCTTCATTGAAGTTGTTTCGCGCCGTCTGAATCTGCTTCCAGTAGCGCTCCGTGACGTTACAATTCTGCAACTCCTCGGTATATTTCTTCTTGGCTTCATCCACGTCGTCCATAATCTTCTTGATGTTCCGCCTCGCGGCGGTCTTCATGTGGGCGGCCGCTTCGAGCATAGGCTCGTCGATTAGAGTGTACATGCGTTTAAGAGAATCCAACGCATCTTTCGCGTGCTCCTCCGCCTGCTGTACGGTCTGTTTCCTCTTTTCCGTCGCCTCCTTCAACCTGCGAACGTGACAGATCTGATTACACAATCGATACACAAACGAAGTGTGAGACTTGATTACTAGAGGTGTGACGTTATTTAACATATGTTTAGCCTTTTTACCCCGCAGAGAGAGAATAAACGTCGTAAATTGTTCTATCGAAACATTAAGGCCCTGTTTCACCAACGTTGTTTAGCTTTAAGCTTAGCTTAATTCGTTCTTTGCGCCTTTCTAAAGTAACAGTTGGAAAGAGACAAAGAACGAATTAAACTAAGTTTAAAGTTAAGAGACGTTGGTGAAACCGGACCCAAGTCGTCTTACTGAAGCCCTGCCCACCTCTGATCACGGCATTATCAAAAACATTATCAAAATAATGCAAAATCCGGAAAAACAAAACGCAAAAGACGCCAAAAAATAACATCAAAATGTTACACCTCTATTGATTACATAAACGACGATTACCTTTGCCAGACGACTCCGCTTATCGTGGTGCCACCACTCTCAACCACATTGACAACATCCTTATTGTATTCCTGAAGCGCGCACACCGCTCCGTGATACGCCGCGATAGCTTTAGCGGCCGCTTCGCCGCAGTACGTTTCCAACTCGATGAGATTTTGCGGCATCAATTCGTCGCGTATAGTTTTAGGAGGCGGCGCTGGCTTTGTAACTGTAAAGATATGAATTACTTATCTTTCACACCTCGTGCAAAACGCGAGAAACAACGTAAACGTACCAACGTCCACTTTTTCACTCTTCTCGTTACTAACACGGATTTCGGTATGTTTCTTGTTAGTAGACGCTTCTTTCTGCTCGGTCAGTGATTTAAAAGCTGGTTTGGGCGCTACGGTACACACATGCGATTGTTAAACGCTAGTAGGGGCATTATTTATCAAGTATGTAACATGTAATCTATGTAACCCTAAAACGTGTTGAAGGAAGGAACTGGGTCAAAGGAGAAGGTATGAGAAACATGATATGAATTAAGGAATCAGGCATGGATTGGGACTCACGTATGTACTCTACAACTTTTGCGCGCTGTATTCTTATCTGACCTGGTTCTGGCTCCGATGTCTCCTTGATGAACAAGCCCAGTATCCTGCGAAACAGACATTTGCACTTCAGTAAAACAACCAGTTGCCATTAACGCTACGCATAATTCTCATTTCCTCACGTCTGCTTCAACGTTTCGAAGAACGTAAGTACGAAGTCGAAGTAGCTGGAGTCTTCTAGGAAGATAATCCGGATGGCTTTGTCTGTGCCAGGAATCCATCCCTCGAGAGTGGCTCGGACTTCTGGGTTTCGCTTTGCATACGTTAGTATTCCTAAGGTACCTATCGTCACAGCTCCTAGAGTTATCAGCGTCCCCGATCCCCGACTCTTCTCGCTGTTATGGGAAACGCAGGCAATTAGAACGAATCTAAATTTAAGTCTATATTTCAAACAATTCACTTTCTTCTTCCCAGCCAAAATTAATCAAATAGCCGGCGCGCGCGGAATCACAGAGAGACAATAGCATGCATTGGCTCGACAAGCAAATATTCTCAAGACTCACGTTCCGGCGCGTTTACCTTTTCGGTGATGCTGTCGAATACTTAAGTCCCGTAAACCTGGACACGAGTCTGACATCCCTGCATAGCCTAGAAGAAGTACGAAGCTCAATACTTTTGCGCACACACAATACAGAGACGCGGAGAGAGAAAATACAAAAAAAATCAGTAAAACCATATCGCTCGTCGAAGATCCCACGACTCCCGTAATCTCTCGACGAGCCTGTCGCACACGAGGGTGGTGGAATCACGAGTGTGACAGATGTCATTCATAAAGTTGCTCAATTCTTTCAGGGGAGCACACGACCGGACATAACCTCACCGCGCCTCGATTCTCGCGCGAGATCGCGCACAAACCGCATTGTCAACCGCTTGTCGGGCTCGAGGAGGCGCGGGGAGGGTGTCCGCCGGTCGACGACGAGCGCCTGGCGAGCGGCGAGGCCGGTACGGGCCACGCGGGCCCTCCGAGACTCCGAGGGGACTCACCTTCCATCCGGCTCGTACTTGACGCGCGCCCGCGACTCGTTGTACCTGGCGGTCAGGTGCAGCCTGGAGCAGCCGTGTTTTTTTACCTGAAAGGTGAAACGGCGACGGGGTTGAGCGCTTCTGGAGTTACGTAAGGCCCTCGTGAGAAAACATGCCATCTTTGTCACGCGCGCGCGGGCCGGACCGAAGCGTCGCGGACACGTCGCCGGGGAGTCCCGCCGGCGCCGTCGTCGTCGTCGCGGAACGCGCGACGCCCGTCGTCGGGCGCCGATGGACGCGGCCGACGGCGACGGTGCCCGGGAACGCCGGGTCGTGTCGCGCGACACTGTCGCGAGGACCCGCGACGTCACGACGTGTCATCGTCGCGGTCGCTCCTCGGGGACGGGCCCGCGCCCGCGGCACTCGGACGCGGAGGATCGCGCGCCGCCCGCTCCACGGGCCCCCCGCGCGCGGCTACGTACCCGATTCAGACCGTTGCACGGAAATTTTAATCCAATTCGGAACATCTCTCGAGCGCGGCCGGTCAGGCAGCCAGCCGGAAAAGGGGAACGACGGCACGGTGGCGCGAGAGGGAGGGGGGGCCAAACAGCTGGCCACGGTCCGCGGCCGGAATCGGGACGGAACTGCGCGAAAAGAAGAATGCTGCGTGCGGTGGGCGCGGCGCTGCGAGGTGGGTGTACGCGCGGTCCGCGCTCGATCTCGCGATCGATCTCGCGATCGGCGAATCGCGCGTTATCGCGAATTAACCGCGTCGGCCGCGACGCGCCGGCGATCTCGCGCGGCGTCGCGTGCGACGGGTCGCGCGACGTCTCGGGAGGTTAGGTCCGGCCATGACACGCGGCTGGCGGAGGGAACGGAATCGGAACGTGGGCGCGCGCAGTTTCAAAGGGGCGCACGCGGGGCTTCTCGCCTCGAGCGCACGTCGCGTTTGCGGATCTCGTACTCGCAGCGCACGTTCGGTTAATTGTTGCGGCTGATCCAACCCTTTCGTGACCGAGTTATTATTTTTCTTCTTGGTTTTTTAGTTTTTCGATACAGTTCTTTCCTGTGAACGTATATGCTAAGGGCAACTTTAACCAACTCCGATTAACTTTAATCGATGATTAACTCAATCAGCAGTGTCGCCAACATGAAGACTTATTGTGTGTGTCGTTCTCAACTTATCTCTTAGTAAACTTTTGTACTGACGTAATAATTTAACAATTTCATCCGTGCTAAAGCCGTTGTATGTTTTCAAGAAGGATATTTTAATTTAATACATGAAATCACAACTACACCATGCCTCAAAAAGATTAAGTTAAGAACGACACACACAAGTCTTCATGTTGGCGACACTGCTGATTGAGTTAATCGTCGATTGAAGTTAATCGAAGTTGGTTAAAGTTGCCCTAAGACCCGGTTTCACCAACGTTGTTTAACTTGAAGCTTAGCTTAATTGGTCCTTTGTCTCTTTCCAACTGTTACTGCAGAAAGAGACAAACGTGAGTTAAACTGAGATTAAAGTTAAGCAACGTTTGGTGAAACCGGGCCTAAGTCAACTTGAGTCCTCTTAAATTTTGCAAGTGGGACTCGCGTCCCAGTGAGAAACGATTCGTCGAAACGGCGTCAAATCGACGTCAATTTGACGGTGTCGATGTCGATTCGATATGTTTAAGACACGTTTCCCCAAGTTTGTAATCTCTTGTCTTACGAGCGTACATATGTGGTGTTCTTTCAGGAATCGCAGCGAGGGTGACGAGTACGAGTACAGCGAGTTGCATTGCTCCAAGATGCAATCCTGTTTTGAACTCCGTGCAGCACAGAGGGTTCGGGGCGCTGTCGATCGCTGTCCAGAAATGGGCTGTTGGACTTACGCAACAAAAGTCATTACTAAAGTAACGTGGACTGTAGCGGAAACGATTTGTGGAGCATATTGATTTCTAAGACAAAAATGAATCGTTACGTGAAAGTAATGTTACTTTTTCAGCCATGCGGCGACGGAAAATCGTCTAGCTTTGCCGGCGGGACCTATTAACGTGCCAGCGCGAACGGTAATCAAGTTCTCTATGACCAAAGGGAAGCGGCGGACCGTCAAGACGGTGTTAGACCGTTTCTACCGATTGCACTGGTAATATTTGAAGCACACGTCAAGCACGCTGTCAATAATCTCGAAAATCGCACCGTACATTTCTGAACAATGTTGAGGCCCAAGTTCGAGCGACGGAAACAAAATGTTACAGGGGTATCTGGATCAGAACAATGGCGGGCCGCCATAACAAGCTGTGGACGAAATCGTCCGCCAGGAAGAAGAGGCTACGGCGGCATGTTTTCTGCAACGCCACGCAGTCGACGATGCTGGACAAGATGACGTCCAAGTACTGGCGCAGACGGCACTATTACGTCGACGACCCGTACGAGCCGTATCACAATCGCGAGGAGTTCGCGATCACCCGGAAGAAACCGTTACCTTAATCCCTGTCAGACTGTTAATTGCTAGGTTGTAAGCTTTCGATTTAAGGGGTATTAAAGATCATGTTGTCAAAGCGTGACCGTGTTCTCTCTTGCCAAAAGTTACTAATTATTACGAGACACGGTGGCGTCTCGCGCCAAGTATAAGCGCAGCTAGAACCGCGCGCACGAGACCGACCGTGTAATTTACGCGAGTACGCAAGTTGACAGGCCCTCAGATTTTCAGATCTCAACAACAGCTGATCCGATTAACTTCTAAGCGCTTACATTTACCGCGCGATCAAACGCTCTGTAACGGTACTATCCATCTTTCCGGGTGTGCCATAAACGGTGACGTTACAACATGCTTAGGACCAGTTTCACAAACGTCGGTCAACTGCTAACCTCAGGTTAACTGATTCTGTCTCTTCTTAGATAATAAGATAAAAAAAGATAGGGAGTTGGCTGAACAGTTAACTAGTGTTCAGTCGACCCTTTATCTTTTTCCATCTTATTATTTGAGAAGAGACAATTTCATACCGCCTAGGCTGCGTTCAGAAACAACATCACCCGAATGCCCCAGTGTATCATTTTATCCTTGTTTAATGATACTCCGAGGTACTCGCGTGGTGTTTCTGAACGCAGCCCTAGTAAAGGCCGTATCAGACTAGCAATTGTCCACGCAGAGTGGATTGGAATTGGCGATTGTCTTTTAGCCAATGAGAGCAAAGCAGTCAGCGATTTAATCGACTCTCATTAGCTAGAGGATCAAGGACAATCCCAATCCGAGTCGACAATTGCTAGTTTGATTCGGCCTTTACGGCACTGACCATAAATTGTTCTGCGTACATACAAGTACGTATCCTTTAGATTTATATATTCGTCTTCGCATCTTTGCCGAGGCTTCTCTGAATAGTCAAATATAAAGTAGTATTTATTATTACACATTGATAATATTATATAAAGATATTAATTACCGTCGAACATACAGAGTATCCCCCCTTCCCCCAATCATTACAGCAAGAGTACTCGTAATTGACGCAAGATTCATGTTGCCTAACGATGCATGCTCACGTTTCTCGGCGCAGATGTTGGGGTTATTTGTTAGCACGATCGATATCATTTCAAAATGATAAGATAATACCGCGTCGTACGTTTCGCGAGCATCTCGTTACACTCGAAAATATCCTCCCTTTTAGCGTCTCTCCTTTTCTCCCTTTTCCATCTACCTAAAATTACAATCTATCGGTCTTTTAGCTTTTTTTTTATCAAGAGGTCACGTGGTCGGACCCCCTACGTGCCGCGCGACACGACGGAGAGCGTGGCCTCTCGTACAGTTCAGTCGCGTCTCGTCCCTCACGGTATTTGCGTCGGTTCCTCGTTGCTCTCCGTCTCGCGTGTCCTTCCCCCCCTTCTCGCTCTCTCTCTCTCTCTTTTCCACCGGCGATAACGTCCCGCTCGAGAAAACATGCCATATCGCGGAAAAATACGACTGCTCGGCAGAGCGTGCGTCGCGTTCGGTAACGCGTGCGGGAAGAGCGAGGGCAATACGTGTTTCGCCGTCGCCAGCATTGCCGGCAGCAGAAACTTCTCCGTGGGCCACACGCTCGATATGAGGTGAGCAGCGTAAAATCCCAGGGCCGTGACGGGCGCCGGGGCGCGCGGGATCTCTCCGCGTTTCCGGGCGATCGACGTGTCCACGAGCGATTACCGTCGCTCCGATCTCCGGACGGTATTATCTAGGGGTCGAGTGTTCCAGTCGTTCAATCGGATAACTTTTTACCCTTTAAAGGCCGAATCAGACTAAATCGCTGGCTGCTTTGCTCTCATTGGCTAGAAGACAATCGCCAATTTTACGCGGATTAGATTGGCGATTGCCTTTAGAGCCAATGAGAGTTGATTAAATCGCTGGCTTTGCACTCATTGGCTAGAGGACAATCGTCAATTCCAATTCAATCCGAGTCGGCAACTGCTAGTCTGATTCGGCCTTTAGATTAGCATCCTTTATCTCTTTCTAGTTGCTCCCCTTAGAAAGAGACAAAGGATGTTAACCAAAGGGTAAAACGTTATCCGATGATTGGAACAATCGACCTCTAGGTCGGTATCCATAATCAAATCTTATATTCAAAACAAGATCATCTTTAGATACACCATAGCCAATGAAACGTTCCATACAGCATCTTTAGATGAATTCAAGGCGGTCTTGAATACAAGATCTGACTATGAATACCGGCTCTAGTCTCGATTCCACTTGAGCTCGTCAACGGGAATCTCGAAGTGCCACTTCACTGGCTGGACACATTCCTAGATTCTCTAAGACGAGACGATCTTTAACCTTTAATTACACGCGAGTTCTCGAGAACGCGTAACTCTTAAAAATTGTATGATTATATAAATTTATCTGAAAAAAGTTCCTCGATTTCGATATCACTTAATTTACGTTAATTCCTTGCAGATACCTTTCTGCTACATATAATTGCACAAATTTAAAAAGCGAGTGGAGTCTCGGACATACGAGTAATTAAAGCCTGATCCGCAATGTGCTCCTTGCGTCTAGAAACATTCTATTTTATACATAAGCAAATCAAAACGTTTTAAAAATTTGTCGACAATACACGATTGTACACAATGTACAATTTACAAGCTTGCACAAACAAAATTTTCGAACTTTTCGTATTTACTGGCTGCAAAATAGAATGTTTTTAGACGCAAAGAACGCATTGCGGATCAGGTTAAGGGTAAGATCGGATGGCGAATTGAGCACTGTCGTCACAATCAGACCTGCCACGGTCGCTCGTTCGGACTGCGGTCCACTTGATGCTGCAAGTGCTTCTTCTCTTTCCATTTGATAAATAAAGAAGGGGAAGAACGCTTCGAAGCATTTGTAGTATCAAGTGGACCGCAGCCTCCGTCCTATTTCACGTTCGTCCGTCTCTATTAAAAGAGACCATTCGAAATTCCGAAGCTCTCCCCAGTGAAAAATGCTTCGTCGAAACGATGTCGAATTGACATCGACACTGTCGGATTAGCATCGATTCGACATCAATTTGACGGTGTCGGTGTCGATTCGACGAGTCATTTCTCGCTGGGTCTGGCATGCGCCGGGAAAACTTTCTCCCGTATAAAGAGATCGCGTGTCTCACGATGATAATCGCTTGATCGCTGAAGAAAGATAGATAAGGCGAAAATCGGTATTATCGTCGCACGTTATTATTCGTGACCCATTGGAGACGGGACTGGCAGTATGAAAACGACACAATTTCTCGTGCAGAAGGAAGTTATCTTATCGATTAGATTTTTTTTTCCTCGAAAGCGCAATACTTTTCGCGATAACGGTAATCGCGATTCTTAACAGGATTGTTCTCAGAGGGCTCGGGTGTCGGAAACCGCGAAACGTTTCAACTACGAAAGTCGCGTATTGTTTAATTTAACATTGTTAATCGGATGAATGTCGTAACAATAATTCACCCAGGGAGAATTGATTTGTCGAGACAATGTCGAACCGACATCGTTTCAGCATCGATCGACAAATCACTTCTCACTGGGAAAAGAGGATTCAGAATATGGCAGAGAAAAATGAAGATTCTAAGTGCAACACGTGCAAGCGACACGAACAGACCATACTTGTATTTTGAATGAAAGTTTCTACGCGCACACTTACACACGTGTCTACTCATGCATACATATAGAGGTCGTGTAGAATTTTATGCTAATAAAAGATATGTCGCTTTTATCGTAACTAGAACAGTACATTACGCGCGTTAGTCCTAGTCTACAATGGAGGATTTAAGCCCTAAGCTTTGAGAAATTGACCAATCACGGTCAAGTGCGAGTAGAATACGCGACTGTGATTAGTCAGTTTCTTAAGGCTTCGAGTTTAAATCTCTATTGTAGACCGGAACTTACGGATCCTCTCTTATCGATAAAAGTGCCACTGAAATTGGTTTGGGAGGATTTTTATCGGCCGAAAAGATTGTTTACGGTCATTTTTATCGATAAAAGATGATTCAGAGGCAAAGAAACTAGCTGACCTACTAATTGTATTTTGAAACAAAATTTCTGTGCGCGCACATTCACATGCACGTGCATACTCAACGTACATTGTATAGAGGCCATGTAGAAATGTTATGCTAATAACAGATCTTATGTCGCTTTTATCTTAATAGGCGCACGGGCAGCGTTTCGAAACTGACATTTACACGGTACGTTATCTATTCCTTCCATCCGTGGACAATTTTTTTTAACGGGAAATAAATTGTCCAAGAAAAAAATAAATAAAACGAATGTTACGAGAATTATGTCTTGGAGAGCAGAGATCGTGGATTCAGGTTTTACTTCTTGGTCTCTCGATCGTCGTGCAGAATTACCAAGTTCTCGATAACGTGCGATTTAATTCATCGTTTTCTTCATACCGCTTCGTTACGTTTCACTTACGCTTGCCCCGCGGTTCCGCGGTATGATAAAAGACGCGCTACATTTAGAAAGTTTAAGTCACACGTAACGATGATTATGTCCCGACCGGCTCTCGCAACTTTTCTGGTCGATTAACGCCGATACATTTTTTTTCTTTCTCCCGCAGGTTCGTCCAGTTCACGAGCAAAAGCGGGGGCCCGCAGCATCTCGGGGTCCAGCTGAAGCAGGGGGGTGACATCATCGCCGTGTCCGCGGTCGACTCGCGGATACCGAACACGCTGAAAAAGTTTCTGGAGGGCGGCGACGATCTGCTGAAGAAGGCCAAGAGGTAGGCGAGCGCGGCTTGACCAGCCGCGGGTCCGGGCGGAGCCTCCGCGAAGGAGTGTCCGTATTTTCGCGCGCGAGATAACGCGCGTTCACAATATTTGCACGCGCTCAACGCAATCTGTAATCGTGATGACGCGTATTTACTTCTTGTAAAAATTAAAATGTGGACAGATTACGATTGATTAAAATATGGTTCGGAGTAGAAAAGCAACAGGGTCACGGCAACGCTGCTCTTTAACATCGTATAAATTGCCCTTGTTTTCTTTCTTTATCACGACCAAGAACCTTGGGAACTAAGTATGTCTTTCGACTGGAGTGACATAATTTGAAGATCTCGCGGGATTATTTGACAAGTTTTTTTTCTTCTAAATCTGGGATATGCATTTTGGTACACGCGTATAGTATCATGGTGACAAATGCGAGAAGAAAAGGACGTAGTTATAGTAATTCTACCTTTTTAATACCGCAATTATCCTCAATTAGGTTTTCGTTTGTGACAAATTTTGCTCGAGAACCTTGGAAATTAAATACATTTCTTAATTGGAGCGACATGATTAAAGGTTCTCAAGTCCTTGAGATTATTTTACTTACTAATTGCAAGTTACTTCGTTCCTGAATCTTGGGGATATACTTTTTTAAATATCTGCAATTATGTTAACGGGTAACACGAGAAAAAAAAGACTGATCTCTCAACGTGAATTTGTTTCGCCAGGGACGACGATTTCGACCTAAGGAAGGCAGTAGAGAGGTTGGTGCTTTCGGCATTCGATTCGTGTGATAAAGTAGTTATCCCCTTTTTTTCTCCCCAGTCGGCTAATTATTTGTATTTGTTCTTTGTCCACGCACATACGATGCCGTTAGTCCTCATTTAGCAAGACTATATCGAGTCCTTCTTTTGGCTGTTATCAACTTATCAAGTTTATTGATTTCATGTCTAATTTTGCATTTTAGAATTTTTCATGCCATTAGCAGGCATTTAGCTAAATTCGAATTGTCATATACTCCCGATAAGATTGTACAAGAGTTAAAAATAAAGTACGTGCGTAAAGCACTCGAGCAACTCTTTGCAATCCTATCGCGCCAAGTAATTTCTTCACTCGGCGAACGAAGGAAATAAAATAAAATAAAATAAATTCGTGCTACCTACAATTCCCCGCGCGATATTTCATGCCGGCGGAGGAGTGACTTTGAAGCACGAGAGCGGTGCACATGCTATGACGTAATCGATCATATGATGATTGCGTAACGAAATTTTGAGGAATTTTAGTCGCGCGCAAATAAGATCGCCCTTATCAGCGACAATCGACGACGGATATCGTACTCGCGATCGCGATTCAAATCGTTAATGGGGAAATTCCCGGGTCGGCCTTGCAAACGAAACAGTCATTTATAAATGTATATTCAAGATACATGTTATTTCTTATTACCGCTCTGCATATATTGTCTCTAGCATTGACGAGCGCAGCTGTTGGCAAAAAGGAAGACCGAACGTGTCGCGTGACGAATATGTAATTGTTACGTACAGTCTTATTCATTAATGCCTGGGCCTCAGTTTTTCTAGGATTCACAGTTTCATAATCTTCATTCCCATCTGTACATCGATGAGTTTCAGGCTGTAGTTCACACAGCCTTTATAGAAATCTGTGGTAGTGAGTACGTATATACAGCCTGAAACTCAGTGATTTGTATAGATGAGAAAAATGATGATAAAAGTACAGGCCCAAGCTTTAATGAATAAGGCTAATATTATACATTTGTCGTGCATCAAATTTTTCAAGTATTGACTGGCTGCTGGATGGAACATTCTATTTTACAGCCAATCGACGCACTTAAAAATTTTGTCGCACGACAAATGAAATATCAGCCGAAGACTGTACATTGTATTTTTATAGATGGAATTAGAGTGAATTATTTTCGATAATTAATGGAAGATTGCCATGCGTCACGTCGGCACGTGGCATTTATAAATCGTGCATCGCATGTTTCCTGCTGTTCGACTTATTGATCTCGCGGCTAAAGTCTAATCTACAATGTGTTCTTCGCGCCTAGAAACATTCTACACTTTGTAGCCAATAAACGTTTAAAAAATTGTGCAAGTTGACTAATTGTTCATTATACAATCGTACGTTGTCGGTGAATTTTTTTCAAGCGTTTTCATTTGCTTGTACAAAACTGAATATTTCTAGACGCGAAGAGCACATTGTAGATTAGGCGTAGGTCTCGGCAAACACCGTTCTCTATCGATTGCATCAGCAGCCCCGCTCAAACACGTGTCATTGAGGGAGCTTTTGAGCTTTCGCATAGCGCGCATGCGACGCGACATTCGATAATTGAGTCTTATCATCGCAACTGACTCTCGATCGTACGCAGCACGTTAATACTGACTCGAGACGGCGCCTTGTCCCGCTGCCAATTGGCGGACGTTCAAGCTTCTTTGGGACGGATGAAATTTTTTCAGTGAAAGCAACACTCGCTCCGGTGAATGGAGGAGCACTTTAATTTATCCGCCCGATCGTGCGAAATGAGTTTACATTTATTTTTTAATTTAATTTATCAATCGCGTCGGACGACGACGTTTGGCTATCAAAGTGGGACAAGTGATAAAACCGATAATCGATTCGCTAATAGAACATTCGTTTAATTGTACTGTTGAGGCTTCCAGAACATTAATTTACGCAATGTCGCTTTTGTTCGCTGTTATAGTTCCGCGGCACGTCTTAAAAACAGGCATGAATATTTCTCCACGCAACAACTTTATTTATAGAAGAGATAAAAATCTTTCTTTATTAAAGTCGAATGTTTCCTACACCTTTCACATTATAATGTAAAAATTTTCTGCTTGTGGTATCTTAAAATTATATTTATGTCGTTTATGATGTTTACTAATAAATCATAAGAACAGTAGTATATTTGTTAATCATTCATGTTCTTCTATTATCAATTAACGAAGTCTTCCCTTTGCAGTTGTAAAAAGAGCGGTGTTCCTTTGAAAAATGACGTAACGAGAAGAGGCAATTATATCAATAGAACTTGTTAGAATAGCGTTCTTGTTTTTCTAGAACGTAACGCGATAATAAAAATTACCCGAATAAGCGTGCACTTTAGTAATTTAAACGTGAATATCTCCGACATTTAAAAAGGTCGCGGAGGTAACTTCGATATAAGTGCATCAGCAATTTAAAGATTCAAGTAAAATTATTCGATTAACAGAATTAAGACAATTAACGGCCGGTGAAGATAGAAAGTACAGTAAATAATTAATCTTAATTGCCTTAATTTTGTCAATTTTTTATTATGTAGAGCCTGGTCCTTTAATTATTTGAATTATGTAATTTATATCACACGTAATATTTCAACGTTTTGCACGCAACGTCTCTGTTATGTAATCTGAGCTGGCGAAGCGTAAATTGACGAGGAAAACATTTGCAAAAACCACTTTGTACGCGTGCAATTAACCGGAAACTGCGGTACGACGAAGACAATAGAAATGTAAATCCTGCTCGGTTTACCCGGATAGACTAGCAACGCGAAATCCGCTAGATATTGGACGCACGAGTAATTGAAGAGATTTAAACGTAGGAGTAATTAATGGCGCTATTACGTTGCTCATTGCCGCAAGTCGGATTTCCTATGAAAGCCCGTTTGTTGCGTACACAGAACCGTGTGTCGTTTATCGACAGCGATGATTAATTAATTAACAGGCTTGCGCACGGAACGGAAACGCATTTCTGCATGCGAATATAACCGAATTTCCTCTTTTCTTCGCTGTGTCTGTTTCCATCCTCTCTCAAGCCCGATCTACAATGTGTTTGTTGCGTCTAGAAAAATTTTTTTTATAGCCATTAAACACGATTTAAAAAATGTGTGCGTGTTGATAAACTGTATATTATACATTGCACGAGCCTGCATTGTCGACAAATTTTTTGAGCGTATCGATTTGCCTGTATAAGAATAGAATGTTTCTCGTCGCGAAAAACACATTGTAGATTAGACTTTAATACCGCAAGGCTTTCCCGTAGACGTTGGCGCGGTAGGGAGAGAAAAACGCGCTTAACACCAGGTTTTGCCTCGCGTGCAAGTTGATTAACTTTGATGACCGGATGATCCCGCAGCCCTGGTCCAAGACGCTGAATTGAACACGATTGGTTACAGAATAGTCGCCGAGGGACGGAGCATCACGCCCGAGGCCGACGTGAACTTCCTGGCGCCGATCACGTGTATGGACAAGCTCGCCTGCATCGGCCTCAACTACAGCGGGCATTGCCAGGAGCAAGGTATACCGACTCCGGAGAGTCCGGTAGTCTTTAACAAATTTCCCAGCAACATCATCGGGCCGCAAGACAACATCCTGCTGCCGTCGATCTCGGACGTAAGTCGACGACGAGGGAGAGGAGGAGGAGGAGGAGGAGGAGGAAAACGCCTGGTCGATTGTCGAAGCAGGGAATGCCCCTCTGACGAGCAAGCCTAATCTACAGTCTGTGCTCTTCGCGTTTAGAAACGTTCTATTTTATATAAGCGAATCGAAACGCTTCAAAAACTTGTCGGCCGCGTACGATTGTACATGAGCGATGGACAGAGTGGTCGCGACACTCGGTTTTTAAATGAGTTTAGGAACGTGCGTTTAGATTAATTGTGTATGTATCTTGTCAATTGTGGTCAATTGTGTATGTATCTTGCAACATAGTGAAAATGCTAAAAGCGAGCGGCTTCGCTTCTTTCCAAGGGGACAGTTGGAAAGAGATAGAGCTGCTCACTTTTAGAATTTTCACTACGGTGCAAGATACAGAATTGACCCAAAGGTTTACTCTTACTTGAAAAAAATAGATCGGAAACGCACAAAATGATTTCGGAATGGCCATCGAGTAAAATATTCCTCGAAGAAGATTTTGTAACGAAACCCTGAACGCACGTTCCTAATCTCTTCTGTCCATCACTGTACAATGTATAATGTACAATTTATCAGCTTGCACGCATTTTTAAACGTATTTATTGGCCACGGAATAGAATGTTTCTTTTCTAGACGCAAAGAGCATATTGTAGATTAGGCCTCGGCGTCGATTCCGTTGTATCTGTAACCGTGTATTTTTAGTCCGTCGGGATTACGTCACGAACCCCCTCTCCCCCCGGGCTTTCATTTTCGTTCTATTCGTCTCGAACCGTAGGCATATACTGGCTCTATTGCGACAGCCTTCCTCTTTACAAGTCGTTTCTCGCGAGATCCGAGGCTTGAATGCCGAGCCGGTTACGCTCGCGTGTTTGGCCGTTCAACGGACCATCGTTGGTTCATTATGTAGTTTGTCCTTGACACTCTGGCAGAGGTAGGACGCAGGCACGTGATGTTCATGTGACAAGACCGGAAGTCGCGCGTGCGTGCGCTCGGTCGGTCGCAGCCCAATTAAAGCGCGATTTTCGGAACTTGCAGAAGGTCGACTGGGAAGCCGAGCTGGCGATAGTGATCGGCAAGAGATGCAAGAGCCTCAGTAACGATGACGTCGAGGACTGTATCTTCGGTTACACGGTGGCGCAGGATATAACGGCGCGCGACTGGCAGAAACAGAAGCGGAACGGCGGCCAGTTCCTGCTCGGGAAAGCGATGGACACGTTCTGCCCCCTCGGCCCGGCCGTAATCACCAAGGAGGCGATATGCGACATCAACAATCTGTCCGTGAGGACGTGGGTGAACGGCAAGCAGAAACAGGACGGCAACACCAGCGAGCTAATCTTCAAACCTCACGAAATAGTCGCTTACCTCTCGCAGTTCGTATCTTTCACGACGATACGCCGGCAATGCGATTGAGAATGCGCGCAAATAACAATGTCGAAATTTCAGATTTATGACGTTGTTACCAGGCGACGTGATCCTCACCGGCACGCCGGCTGGCGTAGGATTCACGCGCAATCCACCCGAATATTTGCAGGTATGTCTCCTTATACTTGAGCCAACGGCGCACGATACTATATTTTGCCTACTGGATTTCTTCCAAGAGCCAATAATGATGCAGAGTTTTAGATCAGTGGGGTCAATTCTGTATCTTACACTGTAGTGAAAGTGCTGAAAGTGAGTAGCTCTGTCTCTAACTTTACCTTTAGAAAGAGACAAGGCTGGTCACTTCTAGCATTTTCATTATGTTGCAAGATACAGAATTGACTCCCTGGAGCAAGCAAGCAATCCAGTAGACAAAATAGTATCGTTGGCTTTAAATTTTGTACTTCATCATGTGTGTATAATTTGCGCGTTTCAGCGTGGCGATGTACTTGAAACCGAAATCGAGAGTCTGGGACGTCTGAGGAACAAAGTAATCTGATCCGAGAGACGGAGCACACCTTTGGAAAGCGTTAACAGAACTTCGTGATTCTCACAAGACTGGACCTACGTTCCCTCAGGGAACGACATTCGCGATGATGTTGAACTGAAGTCATGTCCGCGAATTGATTTTGGATACAAGAACAGATACTCGAACAATAATTTCAGCGCGATTGCGAATGTTCATGCCAGAGGTGACATCGCCCTCTTCTTCATTCAGAGGCACAGACAGGAAACACACGGGGCGCCTAGCAACCCTAATTTTTTATGTGTCACGCATTTTACGTATTTGTATAATTAAAGCAAGTTGTTTCTACAGTATGATTTTATCTCGTCCCGTCCCACACGGGTTTAGTAGCCCAAATTTTAAATGCTTTATCGAAATGAATTTAAATGACACGTAGAGAGAAATATATTTTAGTTTGATCGCGATATTTGTTCGCGGTAAGCTCTTCAATTGTAAGCAACATTTTATCGGCATAAACGTTAGCGTGCATATCCAATTGTGTAAATTACAGTAAAACGTATATTTGTGCTGTAATCCATTTACAAATACAAATTCTACCGCAGGAAATGCATCGGTACACATTTGTATATAATTATATACTTACAAATATAAATTCAGTATTATTCTTCAGTATTATATGCCAGTACATTTTGCTACGTACAACAAAACGTACTAGATTTCGTCGCAATCCATTTTTACATTAGCATAAATTATAACAGCATACATTCCAAGCCATCGACTTAAATATATGTTGGAATCTCGATCAAAATAAAAATAAAATTCTAATATACATTTATGCACCTTAGGACACCAACTGCTCATCGCTGTTTTGAGCAAGTTCGTTGTACTGTTCCGGAATTCTCTTAAACATTTTTATCTTGGCACGTATTTGCTTCCAAGTTAATTGATAATGGTTCTTTCGGTCCCTCGACATCGCCTGCAGAACAATCCAAACGGTCAGCTACATCTTGGAGACAAACAATGACTTTACTTGCAGAAAGTCTCACCTCGTAATCCTCGCCGTACTTCTTTATCAAGTAAGTGAGAAACTGCGTTTGTGCCTTCGGCAATTTGAGAAGTCGCTGCCTAGGAGCCTTGGCCTCGGCCTCCAACGTCTCCGCTACATGACTTTTCGCCACGTTCATCTCCTCGTGATCCGACGAGTCCTCGCACCCTGCGACATCCCTCCTGGCCCCCTCCAGCAGCTCGTGCTTCACGTTAGGAAGTTGCATCGCCTCGTTCGCGTCGTACGCCAAGCCCATCTCCTTCAAATTGACGCGGGTGGATCTTTTGTACTCCCACTCTTTTTTTATCTCATTACTAAAAGTCAAATGTAACAGAATGAACAAACGTCGATTGACGGCACGTTACAGTAAGCTTTTAAAATATATTTGGTGCTGCTTTTTTTAAATAAATTCTCCCTTTATGAGAACGCCGTCGACCTACTGGTCATATAGCGTACTCCTCTTCCTTTCTTACTATCTTCCCTGTATTCTTATCTTCTCTTTACTCTGACTTCACGGCTACTTATCCTCTGGGCCCTATTTAGTCACCTCTTACGACACGGAAAGCTAGCCGGATGATCTATTCGTCGGTGGATCAACACGCCAAGTACTTCTTCTTGCGCTTCAGCTTTCTGATTCTTTTGATTTTCAGCTTGCACGAGATATCTCCCCCGTGCACGCGTGCACCAAAAAGCACCAGTTACGCAGAGTTGTAGGTTAGGAGACTCACCATGGGATATCCGGCAGTTTCCGTAGCTTATTCCGCAGCCTCTTTCGATTCACATTCGGATTGTACTTCTTCTTGCGCTTCAGCTTTCTGATTCTTTTGATTTTCATCTTGCACGAGGTATCTCCCCCACGTGCGCACCGTCCGCGATACAACTCAACGACGCGTACCTAAAAGTTCCGGTTAGTTCCGAGAAACGACACCGAGCACTGCGATCGACCGCGCATTTTGCAATGGTACGTGGCATCGCGATTCAAAACTGCATCCGACAAATTGTACCCTTTGGCGCTTGCATGTACGAAGAGTTAAAGATAAAACGAGTTTGATCAGTGTTACAGATTGAGCGATAAAAATATGATCGGTGAAGCGACATTAAAACGATAAAAATGGTAGCTTTACACTGTTTCAATCAATAATCGTGACGCGCGTGCAAATCACGGAAAAACAATGTAGCTGCCGCAGCTAAGAACTGCGTGTGGTAACTAAATTTCAGTTGTAAATTATGAACAGCTAATATTTAAATGGTATATTTCATTAGATTGCCAGTGTTGATAGAAATAAAATTTCAAATTTTAATCGACCTCAGCTGGTCACATTTATTGAATACGCTTTCACAATGTTTCGACCTTTGGTTTAGGTCCTTATCAAGTGAGATCTAGGAGTAAAATGTTTTACATACAGTTTACGTGAGGACCTAAACCAAAGGTCGGAACGTTGTGAAAGCGTATTCAATCAATGTGGCCAGCTGAGGCCGATTAAAATTTGAAAAGCTAATATTTAGTTGTGATAGCTAATATTTTGCTACTGTGCTTTTGCTGTTGCATTAGGTGCGACGGCAAACCGTTTGCTGTGCTTTAGAAATTTGTAGTTAATGCAGCAAAGTAGTTTTAGCAAATCGTGATCCCTTACGGAAAAAACACTCAAGTTTTGAGTGTTAACACTAAAAACTTTAGTGTTTTATCCATAATGGATTAGCTATGGTAGAGAAAAAATTTTGTTCAGTGCAGACGTCAACGCACGTTTCAATTAAATTTGGAATTAAAATTCGAACGAAGAACTCGCGTCGTTTTTGTATCGACAATCAAAGCGATTGGTAAATGTTCCCGGGACATTTTCTATGTGCGACAATGCCCCGACATTTTCTACTCGTTATATTTGCTAAATTGATAACTTTACGTTCATTACGTACAAAATATTAGAAAAATATATAAAGAACCGTGCAGAAATGAATTGCAAATAAATGTTTCATATATCTTTCTCGTTGTATCGACGAGCGCATTATGTTTATGTTATAAAATAAGTAAGACAAGTATATTTTTTCGCATTCTAGCTTACTGTACTAGTTCACCAGTGCAGCAATAGAAAACAACCCAGAGAGCATGCATGTCTAAAAGACGTTTACTAGACGTCTTAAAGATGCCTTTTAGACATGCGTGTTCTCTGGGAAGCTTGATATAACTAGTAGGTCCACTCCGTCATTTGTTTCGTTTAGCGTCGATCCCTTCTGCGCATCCGACATTGTTCTTGGCAGACCAATGAGAAGAAAGTTGTATGTGTGGTAGTGTGGCTTTGACGAGTGCGTATACACAGACATCGCTGAATCCTGCCCGGGTGTATGGCAGAATACCACGTGGGACCGCAAAGATCAAAGGGGTCGGCAGAGAGTGGATCTAGTTATACCAATTAATATGATACGACCAACGTAGAACCGGCCTCAAACAGACAATCTTAAGTTTCCACACACAAGCGTGAATCTCAGATCGATACGGGCAGAAATCGTATAATAAACTGAATTAACAGTTCAATCTGAGGAGCCGAAAATGCAGAAATTAGAAGGGGAGATGCGTCGAACGGGAAAATGGCAGAGAAACAATCAGGAGAAACCACCGAAGATCCTTCGAGCGCGGTGGTTGGGGGGGGGGGGGTAAGGAGAGGAAACCCTCGCGGAAACTCGATCCTCTCGATGATGGACTGGAACGGCAACCCTCCCCGGAAGAGAGAGATCCGCGCGTAGAAGGAGGGGGAGCAGCCGAGTGAGTGCGCGTTTTCGATAACTATTATCAATCGACGCGATATCCGTGATAAAGACGCGTGTGTATGTAAGTGCTCTCTCCGCTTGTCACCGGGACAAGGCGGTCGCGTGATCGTGAGGTGTCAGTGTATTTCCGGCGAATGGCCGGCGTGAATCGCGATGTCCGCCTCTCTCCCTCGTTCTCCCTGTCTCGCGCCTTCAGGCATCCGCGAAATCGAGATCGGGATCGACTGCTCTTCCGCGCGAGCGACGGCGCGCCCTTTTATCAATCGCCCGGTACTCCCGATTGTGTTCTCCCGCTGATCGCAGCTCGACGAGGCACGGGGACGAGGACAAAGGGACGTACGTGGGACCATGCGCGGTTCGGCGAGCGTGAGAAGCCTCTAACAATAAGTCGGCGGACCCTTATGGACTCGGACATGGTGTTCCGTCGCAGCTCGCGCGTATTATATGAGTTCGCCGATAGAATTCCTAGAGCGCTCGGCGAGATGTCGTGTACGATAACGGCTTAAAAATACCCGCGATATGGAATCTAAATAGTTTTAAAACTAATACGTTACGCCTCCGATAAACACGGCTCGATTATAATTACTGTAATCTCCAATGATCTTCCGCGTCTCTCGAGATAACGGCAAATTACCGTTGACATTACATAAATGCGTTATTTACGAGAAGTGCGAAGAGTAAGTGACTCGGAAGCGACTGGCAGGTGTCTGTTCGGTGAGATTTTATTTTCGACGGACCCCTTTGAAGTTTATTCAATCTGAAACATAGTGTTGCCAGTTTTTATCCGTATTTTCGAAATGCATTCCTGCGGTTTCAAAGAGAACGAGAAGGTAAATCATCTTGCAAAATAGATTCCCAGCAATCCTATCAAGCTCACTTCCTTGCTCCAATCTGCATTGTTCGTAATTCTATCGCGATAGAACGGACCGTGCGAGATGAAGCAACGCGGCCTAATGCATTCGCGTAATTCGTCAAGAAGATAATCGGCGAAGCGATACCTCTCCGCTGAACCAGAAGCAAGCGGCAAGTGAAACAGCTGCCGATACGGTCGGACAAACCGGTAGAAACTCGGGAGTGCGAGGTGAAACGAATCGGGTCGGCGTGAATGAATCGCAAGGACCGCGTTCGCGAAATAGCGGTCTCGTGAATCAGGATCTGGCACATGGTGGGCAACTTCTCGCGATGATAAAGATATTTGTCGAGTGATCGTGAACGTCGCGGTGACGTCGGGACGGCGATGCTTCGCGATCTTCCGCTTGGCGCAACATGGGTTCCCTCGGGATCGTCATGCTAACGATCCTATGGCTGATGTGTCGGACAGAGGGTCACGACGAGGTCTCGTGCCGCGAGGTGCAAATGCTGCCTCGCGACTGCGAGGCGCTGTGTAGCACGGACCGCAACGGCAATGTCTCCTGCGAGCTGAGGGTGGCCGTTCTCCTGCCGGCGGATCCGAGATACGATATTTCTCTGCCCAAGGTCCTCCCGGTCCTCGGTAAGAAGCCACTTGGTGCATCTCGAACGAGCCTGCACTCTTAAGCATGTGCCGCCAAAAATTGGAGGTACACGTTAAAGTAAAGACAATAATTATGAGAGACATAAAATCTGCTAAATAGAGCGCGTAACTCGAATCTCTATTCTGCTTAGACATTTGTACCTCAAATTTGGCGGTACTACACGGTACAAGCTCAAGAGTGTGGAACCGACGAGTGCGGAGTCGATCGAAATTGAATTTTGCACGCGCAACCCTCGCAAGTCCAGCTTCGTTCGAATCGGAGCACCGTGCGGAAGAGTTATTCATCTTTCTCTTTTGCAGATTTGGCGGTGTACAAAGCGAGAGCGCGAAATCTCCTGCCGGAATGGCTGGAACTCAAGTTCCTGTCGCAAGACGATCATTGCGATGCGATGTACGCTCAATTCCGCGCGATTGATAGCTACTCGCGTTGTGTGCACTTGTTTCTCGGGCCGGCATGCGATTATTGCGTCGGTACGTCACCTTAAACCCTTTTACTGAATTCCACCGAGTCCCCCGTAAGATATACATATAATTGCCAGCCCGCAAATAAATGATTCTGAAACCATCTTGTGCTCGGTTCATATTTTAATCCATCCATAAATTACATCCGTCAGAACTGAGAAAGCAGTTACATTATATGAGATTTGTTTTAATATATTACATTAAAATTTCCATAATCCCCCGCATAAAGTTTCCCGTGTCAAAATGATTTAACTGCGGCCGCACTACAAGAGCGGATTTTTAGAATCATTTTTACGTTTCACATTAAACATTCCCCCTTTACTGTTTCTTTTTTATATTTAAAAATGTATAAATACCACGGCGTATTTCTCCCGAGTTACTCTTCTTCTATTTTTTATACTTTCCATTCATTTATAGTTTCCATTATTGTGGCATTAGTTAAGAAAATTTTTTCAGCGGGCGTCGGCAGAATGGTGAAGTTTCTTGGCGCACCGTTAATTACCACAGGAGGCTTTACTTTCGATTTCACCGAAAAAAAAGTCGAGTGCAAAGATGAATTCTACATGACTACAAGAATCGGAAGTTTGGCCTTCAGGGACATCGCCCAATTTTTTGTGGCTATAATGGATCGGTATGTACAGTTCAAAGTTTATATAAGAATTTATCAATTAAACTGATGTAATGGGAATTTCATCTTTACGTGTTTCTTCAAAAGAAATTATTTAGTCACGACAAATTGTATTGCAGAGAGACAATTGTATTACAAATATAATTATTTGACGAATCATAAGAAAACTATAAGATGACGGAGGATCATAACTTTCTTTTACTTTTTCCTTCCTATGGATTAGTTACGAGTGGCGTAAGGTACATCTCGTTTATGCGACGAACGGGCAGAGTCAGTTCGGTGGTAGACATACGTGTCAGCTTATGATGAAGACAATGGTTGAATTTATCAAGAAGGTGCACATTACTTATGGCACCTTCGACGTCGAAGCTACGACTCCTAGCGATTATCCAGAGGCCCTGAGAGATCACGTTAGCAATTCGTACGGTGGTGAGTGACTTTTTTTCAGATTAATTATTACGACACTTGAATCGAAAGTTGTAAAAGTTTATCGGAAAAATAATTCGTTAAGAACGTTTGAAAAGGCGCTTCAAAATAAATTCAACATACAAAGTAACGAGCGGAAAAATTTGCTTGTTGCTTACAACTTCAGACGTCAATTAAGAAATAAGTGGATTTAATATTAAGAGCACTCATGCATACAATTGTCATTAAAAAAGTATGAAGAGCTTCCGAGAAATGATTTCGCCGAGATATCTGAGAGGTTAATTACCGATGTATATATTCATTCGTCTCACAATATAGTTGTGTTCCACCGTAATTTTTTCTGGACAAAATACCATACTATCAAATTCAGATTAAGATATTAATCATCATTTCGTGTTTATCCATATTTATCGCATACCTCCGGTTTAAGTGATCAAGCCGTAGACAACGACGCTCCAAGTGCTGTAAACAGGTATTTAATTATAAACGTCGTTGTCTTGAAATGACGAATCTGTGATAAGAATATCGTTCGTACGGTCCTTTTCAAAAAGCGTATGGCTGCAATCGCATAAAGTTCAATTGCAGCTATCAGTCGACAAGTACAAAATTAACAATTATAAGATAATACAATTCAACAGTCAATTTTGCCGCGAGCGCACTTTAATCAGTTGTCACCTTAAAACGAACATGCATACTATAGTAAGAGAAATTTTACTTGGTTTTATGTGTGCGATAACTGATGATCAATGACGAAGAATAAAACTTCGATAAAAATATATTGCCGCGTGTTCTCGAATTGTCTCGTAATGTTAACGGAGCCGTTGCTTCAAACGTTCGCTATAAATTTGATAATAATCAATATATTTCGAGTGACGTGAGAGAAAGACGATACATCCAGCACATTAATCATTTCAAGTGGTTTTACCACAGTTATAATTCTCTCATTTATCAATTCTCTCAACTCTCATCAATTCGGGGTGTAATCGTTCCATCATTTAATACTGAATATATCACAGTGATATAAAAAGATTTCGAATGAAATTTATTAATTTTACTTACATATATGTAAATATATATTTTTTAAATAATTAATTTTCTTTATAGAGTAACTTTACTATTTATAATGTTGAAATATGCAATAAGTATACTGTGTATAGTACATATAGTATTTTTATAAAAGAAATTTATTTACTTTATGAATTATAGAATGAAATAAGTTTTTTTTAAGTACGTTGCTGTTGTACACTATTATCATATTATGGATATTTTATGGATGATATTTTAAGGGAGCTCAATACGAAAGCACTGGTAAGAAAATTCAATTATCAGATGCGGAAAATGTAATCTATTATTATAAGTGGGGGCTTTAATTAGAATATTGCTCGTTTGTAATATCTTTAACGGATAAGAAAGTATTTGCGTAATTTTTTGTTTAACTCTTTTTAATCATTAGGCGAATCGGGCCTTATCATATCTCATTTCGCACCGTTATCGCGTAACTTATCGCGCTTGGACATTTCTATTATTGATATCTTCTCACACGGCTTTACACGTCACTACGTCTATATTTAAACATTTCCTCTTAATGAACTTACAAGATTATCGCTATTTAAAGTGTTACAAGGATTTTCGCCCAGAATTAACCCTTTATACATTCCAAGATAAAGTCTATTACGTCCACGCGCAAATATGTACGTGAGACCATTACATAATAAAAATAAATAAACAATGTAAAAGTAACTTAAAATACAGAGATAATGTGAAAGTAGCTTGCAATGAATAGTACTTCGCACATATTGCGTGGGTAGTGGATGAAACGTATTTTATTATGGGTGTAATGCGCATGATGCGCCACTGCTTCTTCTTTAACATTTAGCGAATAACAAGGATAAATCATGCATCATGCGCATCATGCGTGAAACGGAACGCTTTCTATGTGTTCCGTTGAAATGTCGAGAAAGACGACAGAAGTTAGCAGTTATTGATGAATATTAATCGATGAGTTTCGAGTGCCGACGTGTTTTATCAACTGTCGAAAATATCGCCTCACCGTTCGGAATTCGTGAGCGCGATCTCACGTCGGTAAAAATTGCTGGCAATAATTTTTGCAAAACTATGAAGAATGAAATTTATAAAATCTGTGCGTTATGCGTAGAGGAAAGTCCTCTTTTAATGTCAGGTAGCAGGTTTTCAACATCTAAATTTCATCACAAATCTTTTTTCGCGACGACTACACGATCTAACAATGAATTTTCTTCTAAACAGGCTGCACTTCAAGAGCAATAAATTCATGGGAATTTGTCTCATAACAGAAGACATTTCTCTACAATCAAGAAATACTAGAGCATGTCACGTGCACATATAATTGTGCATATTTAAAATCTTTCACATCTAAAGTTATTGACACTTAACATTTTTACACCTTTTTTCCGAATAATCCCATTCTCCCTGTTAAGCGAGTTTCTCGAGTAAGTCGCAAAGTAATCGTTTTGTAATCCATAATAATTACGTTTTATTAAATCGCGAAAAAAAAGTTGTGCGAGAATATAGAAAATTGCTTGTACAAATTGCTCGCGACAAGAGTGTAGAGAAATGAGATTGAAAATTGAAGAACTCTACGTGTCACTCTCGCGTGTCACCCTCAGAGCGCAGAACAGAGGGATAATTGTGAATGTCGTCGATACATTATGCATACGCATTGGTCATAAGTGCCTATATTTGCATACGCTCTTAATGCACATACCGCGGTGACACGTACGCACCGACAATGCGAAAATATGCAAGCAGGCACTTTTCCGCGTGCTGCATAAATATTGCATTTTTTACGGTATATGCAACAAGGTTGAATGACATTAGAGCATTAAGCTCGCGAGCAACCATAGTCGGAAGCGACGTCTCTCATAATAAAGACATTAGCGAGTGCTTTTAAGGTTTTTTCGACTTGTCGGGAGAAATGGCGCGGAATCTTAAGGATAGTCTTTAAACGACTATCGAATGCAACGTATCTACTTATTTTTCCGACATTTTTTATTCGGGGTATGCATTATTACTTTGAGTTTCGTATCTCCATTTCTATTACTCATGATATTTCCGATCGATACGGAAGCCTTTTTCGTAACGGAAATTTATTTGGGCGTTTTTTACATCTTTTCTACATTAAAATTGAAACACTGTACGATTTGATCTTAAATTAATACGTTAAAGTAAACTGCATACAAATGTGTCCAAATTAAATCAGAAATTTAATATTATTATTTAATTATAAGGAAGATAGTGCGAGCTATAATTAAATTCGACAACGTTTTCGAAACGTGTCCTGTTTCAAATAACTTTTTAAATTTAAATCTACGTCACAGCCTCAACACCGTGACAATATTTTTCAATATTACTGTATTGACTTGCCGATATCGAAATATGTCCTAAAATCACATGACGGACAAGTCTCCCCCTCCCTCTCGCTCTCAGTTAAAAATCTATTTTTAAACGATAAAAGGACTAGGCAACTCTTGCGTAAATGACACGATCGACAGGTCTTTCACTTCGAAGATCAGAAAGCCGACCTTGACTTATGATACATAGCAAGAACAACACGCGCTCGAAACGACGATTACGAAAGGACCTAGAATAGAACCAAAAATAATTTAATAAATATCCATATATATTTATATATGCTGTTCATGACACAAGTTATATGACATATCGCTATTATATTTTCAAAGAGTTCACAAATATGATTATTTCATCTAATCTCAATAGAAAATGTTTTTTATTTAATAGCATTAAGTAAAAAAAGATTCTCTCTTTCATATCTTAATTCTCTAATAGCATTACATATATGTCATTGGACGAATAGTACAGAATAAAAAAACACATGTAGTTGATGATTGCAATCTCCGATCGATAATTTCCACTCAGTATTGTCACGTATGTGATTTTAGATACTGCGAAATCTCCGCCAATATTTGCGGGCAAGCGGGTAGGGTGGTGCGTTATCGATAAAAGCGTGCGTTAGAAAGATGTCCTATTATATATTTTTGTCGAGAAATTGCACTCAACAAATTTCTTCGCCTCTTAATGTACTAGGATTTATGTTCGCAAGATAAAATTTGCATTCTTTTAGTGACCGTGACATTCTTGACGCAAAAATTTTTTGCACGACACTGTGTGCTAACCTTACAGCTAGAAAAATATAATAAAAATCTGAGGAAATTCACGATGAAAATTTCTAAAATAATGTTTGTCGCTATTTTGTATGTCAGATTTACTGAAAATATCTCGGACTGTATCACAATTTTGCAATTAGAGCTTTCTTCTTTTTCTCTTGAAAAAAATAGTAAACAAGATCTTTATTCATTGTACCTTATCTACTTCTAACTTTAAATTTCCCATCAGAGGGGAGTAGCTTTCAAAACGCCATTTCCATTAAGCTTAAAGTTAAGCAGAAATTAATCAACTAACAAAGTTACGTCCGGACCTATTTACACTCGCGGAGTTTAACTCGCACAAATCCTTTTATTTGCGGTGTAAAGCATCTCCGCGAGATGCGTGAGCCTCCGATATTGCTCTCTGCAAATTTCGCCTAATGCTTATAAAACTTCTGTCGCGAAAGATAAAAATCACTAAATTCATCAAGGAACCCCCTCTCCCCGGGATATCTTATCGCGGATCTCTCTCTACAAGTCGCTTCGCGTAATCGTAGGCGTATGATAGTTGCATGGCGGTTTTTGAAGAGACGAAAATAGACCATAGTTGCGGACATCACTTTTTGATCCGAGGCCCTTTAAACACTCCGTTCGCACTCGATGGCGATTCGATGCGAAATGAAAGGTGTGGTGTGCACGGAGGGTATTCGAAAGGATCGACGCATGCGTTCCACTTCCTCGTTGTGCTTCCTCCGTGGAGGCGCACAGCAATATCCACCTACACGATCTCGGAGTGGCGTGCTCGCCTAGAGCCGGCCGCGCGACGTGGGGGTGCGATAAAGAGGGAGGACCGCCGGCGAA